ATAACTTTGTGTGGGATAAAACCAACATAAATCGGATTACTGTTTACCAAGTTTATTATCATTATCTTTGTCTTTCTCTTGTGGATTTTCAATAAACCCAAGTTTTGTGATCTCACATCAACGATGTTTAATTTGTTTAATCCTGTGAGTGGGATAGAAGAGACGTGTTATAGGCGAAGCCCGGGTCATCAAGCTGTTTAGTGGGATCCACTGAATTCCATTCCTGGTTGTAGCTATTGCTGTCTTCATAATTCATTCTATGGCAGTAGAAACAGTAGGGCGACAAAAGCCATCTTTTTACGAGTAACAGTGGGTCTATAGTCTACCACCATATCTCTTCTACTTGTTGCACACTATCCTATCAAGATAGAATAACAAAATAGATGGGGTAACAGTGGGTCTTTATTCTACCACTACATCTCTTCTACTTGTTGCACACTATCCTATCAAGATAGAATAACAAAATAGATGGGGTAACAGTGGGTCTATATTCTACCACTATATCTCTTCTACTGTTGCACACTATCCTATCAAGATAAGATAACAAACTAGATGGGGTAACAGTGGGTCTTTATTCTACCACTATATCTCTTCTACTGTTGCACACTATCCTATCAAGATAGAATAACAAACTAGATGGGGTAACAGTGGGTCTTTATTCTACCACTATATCTCTTCTACTGTTGCACACTATCCTATCCAGATAGGATAACAAACTCGATAACATGTTGTCTATTTTTCCTCCTTTATGTACTTCCTTCTATGAGCACTAATCAATAAATATTAATTTGTTTATCACTCATTCATTGTCAGGTTATGCCATTATGTCACATAATTCTTGCAGTCTATTCCTATTCTATCCGGTAAAATGACTTCAATATCACAGACATAATCCAGCCCAGCTGCCTTTGCTTCCCTTGTCAATGTTCACCTTAGGATTTATTTCGGAAGTTCTCATTTCATCAGTCCCTCGATTTCCCATTTCAGCTCCTGTCTAGTGATTCTCTAATAGTTTCTTCTCAGAATGTGTCTAATACAGATAGTTTCTTCTCAGAATGTGTCTAATATAGATAGTTTCTTCTCAGAATGTGTCTAATATGGATATGGATAGTTTCTTCTCAGAATGTGTCTAATATAGATAGTTTCTTCTCAGAATGTGTCTAATATAGATAGTTTCTTCTCAGAATGTGTCTAATATAGATAGTTTCTTCTCAGAATGTGTCTAATACAGATAGTTTCTTCTCAGAATGTGTCTAATATAGATAGTTTCTTCTCAGAATGTGTCTAATATAGATAGTTTCTTCTCAGAATGTGTCTAATATAGATAGTTTCTTCTCAGAATGTGTCTTATATAGATAGTTTCTTCTCAGAATGTGTCTAATATAACGCCATTATATCTGTCTCAGAATTGTTAGTTCATCCCACTGCTATCTGATATGTCATACCTTCAGTCCATTATATACGTACATTCTATTTGATTTTTTAATTATCTGACACCCCTTCATTTCTCCCTCTCATTTAATCTTCATTCCACAATAGTTTCATATGACCCTACTTCTCCTCATATCTGCTTTGAAACGGTGCTGACACCAAGAAAACATAATTATTCTGTTAAACTAAAATTATTCCCCTCCCAGCCCACCCTCTCACACATTTTCTAGACGGTTGGCAGAGAGGGTGAGGGGGGGGGGATATAATGGAATACTTCTAGTTTAACAGAATAATAATGATAATAATAAGAATAATGTGCTTAACAGCAAATACTTTTTACAATATATTTGAAAAAATATGAATATATATTAGGAAATACTTATACAGAGAATATATATATATATATATGTATGTGTGTGTGTATGGGGGACACTCAGCACAAGTTACAAAACTGGTGGAGGAGGGGGGGGGGGGAAGATCCTAAGCTTTCCCTAAAAAATCTGGGTGGGGAGCCCCTCGAGGGGACTGCTGAGCCCCAGGTTCCACTAACTAAACTGCTTACCCCGGTTACAAAAGTGAATGCTACACAGTTTGTATTAAAATTATCAGTAAAGAAGTTGCTGAAACAATTCCTGGATAAATAAATACAAATAATTATACTTTAGAGGATAATTACAGAGACAGTCGTGTGGTAGTAAAATTAAAGGTAATTATTGATGTCACCTCGTGGTAAACGTGAAATGGGTCATACTGAGGTTACCTGATGTCAGATGGAAGGATGTTATAGATATATATTAGGTTATTTAATTATAGGCTGTTGGACAATCCGGGCTTCTTTCATTCCCAGAAAAAAACTGGTATCTCCCCCGTGTGGGTTCCGGGGCCCTACTATGGGATAAACAAGAATAGACCCACTGCTTACCCAAACTCACGTCGTAAAAGTCAACTAATTGGGAGCTTCCTTTGAAGTCGGAGTGTATCTGCCTGAGAGGCAAGGAACCAACAGTCTGTATACAGATCTGTCAAACGGATGCACACGCAACACTCAGGTTCTGGAACAGGACTGCAGTTCAGAAGTGGACGAACAACCAGAACTTTTCGCCGGAGGTCACAGCCGGTGAACGCAAAGAAGAAGAAGAATAACTGATATCCATTCCTGGAGCACAGGCATGAACAAAACACTGGGGTGGGGGGTGTTCAGCCTTCCTACAGATTTCTAGGAAGCCTTCAAAGCCTTGTTTCACTGCCTAATAATAATAATACAAATATGCTGAATGGCAAATATGTTTATGACCTAATATGCCTTGGGGAGTTGGTAAGGGCTTTAGCTTAGATTTCTTACAAATTTCAAAGAGGTGGGAAGGGGGATACTAAAAATACTGCCGTCCTTAAGCCTGGGTCGACCTTGCTATCTTCCACAAGCCCCTGTTACCTTCAACTGCCTGTCTCGACCCCACTGTCTTCCACCTGCCTGGGTCGACCCTGTGACACTCCACAAGCCAGGGTACCTCGTTGTTTATTTGCAAGGGGAAGACCTAACTGGAAACTATTTGCATGCGTTAACGTTTAAAAAAAAATCTGAAAGATCAATATATTTTGCATGACTACGTCACTACGCCTCGTATATAGGTTAATATGTATTCATTTCTGGCAAAACGCCCAAATGGCGCACTGGTCTCATAGTTCCTCTAATCTTTTCAAACGTCACCCAGCCCACCAACCCCGGTCCATGTTTAATAATCAGAGCGGTGCTGACTTCTGCAACGTGTCAATTTATATACACCCTTTCAGCCTAGCATGGAATTTACCTGTCCTGTGAAGGACAAAATGAACAGGCAAGTTCCCATCAGAACTACAACCACGTTCAGTCAATGTTTGCCCGTTTCTCGCTGGCTGCCGTGTCCTCCATTTCAACACAACTGATGCATAAAACAAAATGGCTGCCAGCATCTAGTCGATGGCAAATGTAAACTCCATTATTTCTCCCATTCCCATATTGTTTAATCCTGAAAATGGATTGTGACATGATCTTTCCAATGTTAGACTGCATGATATCGACTGTTGTAGTAATCTGTCGAAAAATACCTCAGGTTAAACGAATATTATTAGAATTTGCCGCACGATAACGAACAATTTTGTAACATCTAGACAGTTGGATGTTGTCAAGCTCGTTGGCGTGCATCGGCCAGGTGCACTGCAAAATGCAAACCTCTGCATTATGGCAGCTATTGACATGCTACTACTATAGAATTTCATGCACTGTTAAGAAGGACCAATCTTAAACGTGTTTTATAAATTGTGCAGTCTATTGTTTGTGTCTTCTTTGTTCAAATTCACATCTGGGAAACATTGCTTTGATTTTTATAAATCTGTGTATGTTGAGATCGAAACAACAAGAGGCAGGGGAAGACCAAGAAGAAGATGGATTGAAGGAGTCACGGACAACTTGAGACTTCATAACATCACGGCATATGAAGCGACTGAGCGCGCCCTGGCTCGGTTGCCGATCATCTGATAGACTGCGACGCCTAGCGGCACAAGCAGATTTTGACAAAAGAAAAGAAGTGTATGTTGAGATTAAACATAATTTCAAGATAGTTTTGCGTCATTGTAAAATGTATTTGAACTGACAATAGAACAAGTACCCCCCAAAATTTATAACAATAATGTCAAAACATTATTCTTATCCCATGTTGGACTATGGCGTAAAATTTAAAATCTCATTTCTTAAGCAATGAGAAAATCTGAGCACTGTCGCCATGACTATACTATCAATACTGCAGTAGTTAGAAAGCCCAGGCACAAAGCAAACAGATTAATGGAACAGGCGGCACATCAGGTGGCTGTGGGTTCTATGTTTATTTACTGCAAACTAATAAATACTTGCTTCAAAAGCTCTAGCAGCCGGATCGATAGTGTGTTTTAATGGCCCCTGTAGTCTACACATACAAGCCGATCAAACAGATGTCCTCTCAAGCGAAAATCACTGGTGTCAATCAATACCAACCGCCAAGTCAGCAAATCCACAAGCCCGCAAAACTGTAGCACTCAGACGCTAGAGGGCGCGGCGAACCTGTTTGTAAACAATGCCGCATGGAAACACTCAGAAAATGGTAACTCCAAAGAGACTTAATTTTCTGCTATAGTATATGTCCTACACACTTAGTTTAATAATGAGGTATTTACCTACTTCATAAATGTGGGGGGAAAGCCTGTAGTTCGTGTCCCCTCTGAAAATAATAGTCAGGATTAACATCGGGCTGAAAAACTAGGGCACCTTGCAACAGCACGCGCGCACCCCCGCCAGCTTTTAGCCCGCGATTACGTATTCCACTCACCCGCGGGTTTGTTTGTAACGAGCTCAGCCATTGGTGGGCTGCAGCCAATGAAAGCTGACTGAACTTGTAAACATTTGGCCGCACGGTTGAGTTTTCCCGAACTGCCAACAGCAGCCGTGTTAGTTAGGGTTCCACCTCAGTCAGTCTCAGCAGCTACCACGGTTTGGCTAGATACAGGAGTTCATTTTCTTTTCTTTCTTAGGAGGTAATACACCTTTAGCAATTTTAATCATGCACAGTATTGAGCAACTTTTGCAGGCAGCTGAATATCTCGACAGACGTGAAAGAGGTACGAAAATGCCAGCATTGTTTTGTGGAGTATATACCCTGTGGTTACACAAAGTCGGATGTTTATTCTTCTGCATTTAGTTTATAAATCTCAAGTGTGCATTCTCTGTGGAGTATTACTGATTATATTTTCATATTTGTTCCTTTTGCAGCATATTCCTTTTAATGAGATGAAATATGTAGTAGTTAAAATGTCTCAGTGTTATTTTAGCAACGAGACGATTTTATCTAAGCTAACCACATTGGATTTCAGAAACCCCGAGCTCCCGTTACGCCTTATGCTAACATATTTACCCAATATCTGCAGAGGCCGAACATGGATACGCCTCAACGTTGCCGATGCCCGATGAATACAGTTACAGCTCTTCAAAAAAGAGATCAAAGTCTAAAAAGACGCAAGGCAATAGGTATTCTTTCTTGTCAGTGTCATGTCTTCTGAGTATTCCTGCACAGTTTGTAATTTATATTTTAATATATAAGAAAAAATGCTTAGAACGTAAACAAAATAAATAGGTGGTATCTGGTTATATGTCGGCTTTGTGGCGTAGTCGATGCCGGGATGCCAGGTTCGATCCCAGCTGCGGGCCATGCGCCTTGTGTTGGTTTTGACAGTGGTATCAAGAAAGCCGACCGTCCAGTAAGCAATGGCAAACTACTAGACGTAAATTTGCATAGAAAAACCACACATAAGGGATTGGTTCGGCAACGTCCTGTAAAGGATACGCAACTAACCTATCTGGTTATATATTTATAGCTGTTTGCATTCTATAATGGCAGTTCTAATCAATAAATACCATTCTAGTTTGTAATGGGATGTTCAGTGAGAACAAGTTAAAAGAAATCTTCGTGTAACAATATTTATAAAGAGAGCAAATAATACATTTCATAGAATTGGATTGTCAGTTGGGAGGAAATATTCAAACTGCATATTATTTCATTATAAATTAAATGCAAGCTGCATTAAAAAGACAACATTGTGTAAACAGCTTAGTGGCATTACAGGCCACACTGGCATTTCTGATTCATAGCTATGCTGTTTGTTTGAATGATTGGTAGCTGTTGACATCTGTCTGTGTGTATAGCTACAGCATTTGCATTTTGTTCATTGCAGATCAACTCACAATGAACTGGAAAAAAATAGGTAGGGTACCTTTCCTGTTTATGTTAGTACTTGATGTATGTCATGATTGATGTTTATTTGTCAATGATAAGAAGTATATCATTTGTCTTGATTGGTGTTTGTTTTTAGATGACAAATGTGTGTTTGAAGCAGCTCAATAGTTCGGTAATTAATTATTCGGCTTCTGTTGTGTGTGTGTACTTTTTTTGGCCTGGTAAGTGCCCAGTTTTGTTTAAACCTAAGTGATATCCCTTTCATATCTTTTGGGATGATCTGTCGTGTTTTAAGCTAAGTTACTGTAGTGAACATTATGGTCTCTCCCAAAAAGAACAAGAAATCCGTATAGTGTTAACAATTGTTACATTTGTGTAAACAAATTTATCTTATTGATTCAGTGTTTGCGCAAATGTGTGTTGTTATTTTTTTTTAATTTATTTATTAATTTTAATAACTCCCTGACAAAAACAAGACAAACATAAATTGCCCTGGCCAGTGTTCGGGTTGAAACAGGCTTCGGGTTGTAATAGGCGGGCTTAGGTCGGCGTTCAAGTTTTCGTTTTGTGGCGGGCCAAACGAGGTTGGCTTTATGTTTACAGTGTGCAGCAGGCCAGAAACGAGGACGACTGCGCAGTGGTCGACCTGAAGTAACACAGCTGGCCTCACATCACCCAGCAACCCTCTCGCCTCCTTTCCCTAGCCACCGAGAAATGCTCGTAGTTATCGATGCTCGGATTGTTAACCTGGGGACAAGGCCGGCAAACCGAGGGCCTGGGTCAGTAGCTTTGGGCATGATCTGTCTTCATGATAACGGAAATAAATTTTGATTGATTATTGCCTGTCGCCCAGGTAAAGGATTCACGAAGGCAGTAGCTTGTTCTGACAGCAATTTTGTCCCGAGAAATAGAACCAGCTAAAAGGGGCGCGGAAAAAACATTCATTTTTATCGGTAGCGTCATTCAGCCTTTGTTCCTTAGCCTGAAATAAAAACGTGGATAAAATGTGTTTTCCCTCCACATAATAATAATCTTAAACGTGTGTTGTCAATCATTGTTGGGGAGCGCAGGGAAGAGAATGGTGGCCTAGCACTCAGTTGGTGGCATTTCCTGTGTAAATCGACGTCTTAAATTCGTCAGCCCTTTTTGAAGACCCTCTTGCTCTTTTGTCAGATCTGGGATTTAGTACCTGTGTAGGCGTGTAACTTTGTGTTAAACAGACATTGCTCCCTTACTATTTATGTGTCGTCTTATTTACTTTCTAAAATATATAATTGTAGTTTACTGACTAGTTTGGTTAAGAACACTGTCACTATCTTCATACATTCTTGTAGGTCTTAAATATCCCTCTATTGTTAACTGTTGACCAAAATACTTGTATTAGAACCTACATGGGGGGGGGGGGGGGTTAAAGGGGAGGGTAAAACCACGTTCTCATGCGCCCTTGAAACGCGGCATGGCGAAAATGAAGAAAGAATGATGATTGCTCGTGTTGAATCTATATTATCGGGTGTACTTTCTCAGTAGTCACCGAGCCAAGTTGCATCCTACCAGGATGGTACAAACAAATCTCTAAAATCGCTCTCAACCGTAACCGTGAAAGATGGTTATAAAGTAGCATGAAGTCCAGACAGGCTGGGGTAGACGTATTGTTGTTTTTCGTTATAAAGTAGCACGAAGTCCAGACAGGCTGGGGTAGAAGTATTGTTGTTTTTCGTTATAAAGTAGCACGGAATCCAGACAGGCTGGGGTAGAAGTATTGTTGTTTTTCGTTATAAAGTAGCACGAAGTCCAGACAGGCTGGGGTAGAAGTATTGTTGTTTTTCGTTATAAAGTAGCACGAAGTCCAGACAGGCTGGGGTAGAAGTATTGTTGTTTTTCGTTATAAGTAGCACGAAGTCCAGACAGGCTGGGGTAGAAGTATTGTTGTTTTTCGTTATAAAGTAGCATGAAGTCCAGACAGGCTGGGGTAGAAGTATTGTTGTTTTTCGTTATAAAGTAGCACGAAGTCTAGACAGGCTGGGGTAGAAGTATTGTTGTTTTTCGTTATAAGTAGCACGAAGTCCAGACAGGCTGGGGTAGAAGTATTGTTGTTTTTCGTTATAAAGTAGCATGGAGTCCAGACAGGCTGGGGTAGAAGTATTGTTGTTTTTCGTTATAAAGTAGCACGAAGTCCAGACAGGCTGGGGTAGAAGTATTGTTGTTTTTCGTTATAAGTAGCACGAAGTCCAGACAGGCTGGGGTAGAAGTATTGTTGTTTTTCGTTATAAAGTAGCATGGAGTCCAGACAGGCTGGGGTAGAAGTACATGGTGATGATGAATCTGACACGATTCAGCTGAAAAAAAAAAAGATGCAAAATGTAAAAGTGCTAACGGTTGCCAGAGTGGATGTATGTTAATTTACAAATAGTATTTAGCTTGTTTTACATTTGGTTGCCTGATCTGGGCTTCATGTTATGTTGGAACCGTCGGGGTCCCGATGTAACGTTTTCTTTAATTTGCCGCTTGCCGGGATTTGCGCGTGTAGGATTCTTATCTTTTGAGAAGTTAACAGACTGCATTGCACACACTTCGATTCCATTTAGTGTAGCTTCCCAGGTTCCATAAGGCCTAGCTGAGTGGATATTTTCACTGTGACTGATTGAATGCTGTATTTTTTTCTTTTAAAGCCTAAAATGACCTCACTGTAGCTACTTGTTGTGTCAGCCTAAAGCGTCATTGCATCTGTAATTATGTCAACACACCTGGGCTATGTTTTCAGTTATGAGGTTTCATTAAATCTTTTAAATATCACTTCACTAGTAGGGGCGGGGTTGTTGAATGGCCAGTTTTGCCTGTAGTTCGCGTTCAATCTGCAGACCTTGACTGTATTTCTTTCTTTCTGAGTACGACTTTTGTCTACCTAACATAAAAATGTATAGAATGCAAAGGCAGCGAGACAAGAAACCGTTCACTTGTATCATGCCTTGGAGGCAATTTTAGCGGTATTACCCAAAGATATTGCATCGGTATGACTAGGATTGCATTAATGCAAGGTGCTGTTGTAACATTCCATTGAGTGGACTTGATTTGCTAGGATAACCATTCGAGGATGTAATCCCACCTAGGGTGGCGTTTCCCGCATAATTTTCTTTCTTATGAATCGGATAGCAGTCTTCGTTTTAAAGGTGCTATTTTTCCTATCTGTTCCTTCCTTCATAAACAGGAGAAGAAAGTTTCATGCTCTTGTGCCTGTCTTATCGCCAGCGAAAAATGGGTAAACTGTCCTGAACTTGTTTATTTCGACGCCTATTGCTTCACACAATATAACAAAATTACCTTGACCTTTACACTACCCGCAGTCAGAGTTGAAGGACATGTAGGAGGTGCCGCTGCATTTCGTTTACTCCTCTCTCTCTCTCTCTCTCTCTCTCTCTCTCTCTCTCTCTCTCTCTCTCTCTCTCTCTTTCTCTCTTTCTCTCTCTCTCTCTCTCTCTCTCTCTCTCTCTCTCTCTCTCTTTCTGTCTCCTTCGTGAGTTTAATCTCCGAAGTGTGCACTTATTCTTAGGATTTTTTTTGGTAGTCGGAAACGGGGGGGGGGGGACACATATTCTATCCTGCACTGTCCGTGGCGACAGCACTAGCCTGGCTGCCCCAGGCTCCTTATACCACTGTCTCCACCGCCCTAAACAAAAAGTAGTGAAACAGACAGTAGTGAGGTTTACAACGCCCAGAATCAAACTAAGGGCCTGCTGGCTCAGTAACCCGCACACTTGCCTGCTGGCTCAGTAACCCGCACACTTGCCTGCTGGCTTAGTAACCCGCACACTTGCCTGCTGGCTCAGTAACCCGCACACTTGCCTGCTGGCTCAGTAACCCGCACACTTGCCTGCTGGCTCAGTAACCCGCACACTTGCCTGCTGGCTCAGTAACCCGCACACTTGCCTGCTGGCTCAGTAACCCGCACACTTGCCTGCTGGCTCAGTAACCCGCACACTTGCCTGCTGGCTCAGTAACCCGCACACTTGCCTGCTGGCTCAGTAACCCGCACACTTGCCTGCTGGCTCAGTAACCCGCACACTTGCCTGCTGGCTCAGTAACCCGCACACTTGCCTGCTGGCTCAGTAACCCGCACACTTGCCTGTTGGCTCAGTAACCCACACACTTCCCTGCTGGCTCAGTAACCCGCACACTTGTTATTGACGCTCCCACCACAAACTTGAGCTCTGGTGTAGACCCAACACAAAATGGTTGCAAGGAAACATTTTAAGGAAGGAAATAAAGGCTGTTTGTGCTGTTTTCACAGCAACACTCATGCCATGTCGGTTATGCTTTAAAAAAATGCGGCCGCTACCATGTAATTAATGCCACGGTGTGAAAGGGGACAATAATTAAGGTCTGGTTATCCGACAGTATCATCTCTGTTGCTGCCTTTTCTGGTGGAAGCATACAACACAGATGTCGTGAATTTAGGACAAAAACAGTTCTGGGAATAGCAGGAGGAGCATTGGTAATCATTATTCGAAAAATATGACACTACTACGAGAATCCGTGAATGTTAATTACACGTTCATAGCGTATGTTTTGTACTGTAAACCCTGGAATCAATAATTAACACTGTGGCAGTGCACCAGTTACAGGCAGTGCACCGGTTACAGGCAGTGCACCGGTTAAAGGCAGTGCACCGGTTATAGGCAGTGCACCGTAAAAAGCAGTGCACCAGTTACTGACAGTACACCAGTTATAGGCAGTGCAACAAGTACAGGCAGTGCACCAGTTACAAGCAGTGCTCCAGTTACTGACAGTACACCAGTTACAGGCAGTGCATCAGTTACAGCCAGTCCACCAGTTAGAGGCAATGCACTAGTTACAGGCAGTGCACCAGTTACAGGCAGTGCACCAGTTACAGAATACACCAGTTACAGGCAATGCATCCGTTACTGACAGTACACAAGTTACAGGCAGTGCACCAGTTACTGACAGTACACCATTTACAGGCAGTGCACCAGTTACTGGCAGTGCACCAGTTACTGCCAGTACACGAGTTAC